CTTCTGCTTCCATCAGCTACTAAATGAAGGCTCTAGCACGGCATATAAGGTAGCCATCAATTTCATCATCAGGAAAGGGCATTTAAGGTAGCCTCTCCACTATTACTTAGTTTGTTAGTTGGGTTCATCCTTATAGATCTCTGGACATTTCCCTAGTGCTAAAGATTTCTCTTTAAATCTATAATGGCTCCCTCTATTATGTTACCTCTTTGCTTGCTCTCCTCTATTCTTTCCCTGACTCAATCTTCCTGCTCCCTCATGCCCTCCTCTCCCCTCTTCTTCTCCCCTTCTCTTTCTCCTAACTTCCTCTTCCCTTCCCCCATGCTTCCAGTTTCCTTAGGAGATTTTGTTCCTTTCCCCTTCTCCAGGGAACATGTATGTCTCTCTTAGAGTCCTTCTTGTTTTCTAGTTTTCTGGTGGTGTAGATTGTGATTTTTCTATTGGTGCCTGATATTTTCTTAAATGTTCTTGAAAATAATGTTTGTTGCAGTTACAAGAAAAATTTCTTTCTCATGAAAGGTTGAAGAAGAGTTCACAAATCAAGGTGTATCCATGTTGAAAAAATATATTTAACATAGAAATTTATATATCTGTATATACACATATTTGTATTTGTTGTTATACTCCTTGATGAATTTATCATATTATCATATATTGGTCATCTTTTATTCCTTGTGTTGATTTTAATTTAAAGTCTCTTACTTTTCATTACACAGAGTTCTTTAGTTTTGTTTATGTTCTGTATGTGGGATATATTTTTAATACCTTCACTTTCAACTAGTGTATGTTACTAAAGGGAAATAAGTCTACCATAGGTAACATATAGGTAGACTTTTCAAAAACAGTGCCATTCAGCCTTTATATGTATCATTGTTCATCTACATTTAATATAGCACTGACATTAGTAGTTTTGTTGAGTTTAAAAATTTTAGCTTAATTTTGAGAATTTCATATACAAATACTGTATATACATAATTTCTACCCTCCACCTATTTTTTATTTTCCCACAGTCTTCCTTTGTGATTCAGTTTTCCCTAGTAATAGAATGAATTCCTTCTTTATTATTTTTGTGTCTACTACACATTGATGTTTTGTTGTTACCATGAGGCTTATAAAAATATTTTGACTATATCAAATAATCTTGAAATGGTAGTGACTTGAAATGTTTGTAAAGAACAAAGAAGAAACGTGAGGAATCAAAAATAAAAGAAGAGAAACAACCAACAAGCCCTCAACATTTATATTGTATTGCTTTCTAACTTCTGAATTTTTGATCACTCACTTGCATGATCTTATATTTTTCTCAAGGTAGCCTTGGACATATAAGTTGTTATATTTTCAATTTTCATATTAAATATATAAATGGGTTATGTTCTATGTTTACATGAGAAATTATCTTGTAATGTTTCTTTTGCCAGTGAGTTTTCTAATCTCTGCTGTTCTTTTTACCTATTAAAGTCCCTTATGCTGAGGTCCCTTATATACAGGTTTGATGTACAAATTCTTCTAGATTTTTTTGTCTGGCAATGTTTTTTTGCATTTCATACACTTCTAAAGAATAGCTTTGTTGGTTATAGTAATTTTGATTAAGTTTTTTCTTCAGCTCTGAACTTATCTTCCTTCCCTCCTCATTTGTGACATCTTCACTGAGAATTCTCTATCAGACAAACTGTAATACCTTTATGTATTTTTTTTCTCCTCCTATTTAGATAATATCAGCCTTGTCCTTAACTTTTTGAGAATATAATTGGGTTTGGTTTAGTTGATTATAACTCCTGTTCTTTGACCCTTCACTACCTAGACTTTTGTTCTTTGACCCTCCACTACCTAGACTTTTGTATCCTTTAGGTTTGCAGAGTTTTATGCTGTTATCTTTTTGAATAAGCTTTCTGTAGACTTGGCATTTCCAAGTCCCCTTGAAAACTATAGCATATGAATGCTATCCATGCTATTCCAAAGATCCTGTAATATTTCATCACCATCTCTATACTTCTTCATATTTTTCTTCTTTGTCTATTTTCAAACAATCTCTCTTTTATTTCTGTTTCTTCTGTTTGATTGCATTCTGCTTTTGACATGTTCTATTATGTCTCTAATACCTCTTACAGATATCAGCTCCAGGTTTTCTGATTGTTTGCTTTTTAAAATTACTTCAATATCTCTGTTAAGTTTCTGGATAGGGTACTAGAATGTTCTTTTTCTTGGGTGAATTTTATTGAGTTTTCTTAAAATAGCTGCTCTGAATTCTTTGTCCAGGAATCCACTCATGTTGGTTGCTATAAATTTTATTTGTGTTATATTATCTTTTTTACAAGGACATTCAGATACTTCTTAATGTACAACATTATCTTTTCAGTGAAAATTGAGTGTTTGTTATAGTCTTCATAACAGCTTTATTTATCTTTATTTCTAAATAGGGTGCTCATTTTCTCAGGGTGTAAGTGATTCAGCACTATTAGCACTAGGTGGTACCTTGCATACAGTTTTTCTGAGTTTATAGTTGATGTTTTACCATTGTTTCACACTAGAGTGCCCTAAGCCCAAATTTGTACCAAATTCACAGTTGGTATATTGCTAAGAATAAATAAGGAGCGGTGTTTAAATAAGTAGCCCTTTCCTTTGAGATCCTAGAAAAACCAGGTCAAGGTCAGAGTCCTCATCTACAGTTCTGGTCTATGTAAATGGTGTGGTATTCTATCTGGCACTGAGTCCCTTTGGGAGAAAATAATCCCCAGATCCTATGCAATAATTTTGTGCATAACTCTTTTTTTCTCTGTGCATAATTATTTTCTCAGCATTGTGTTGCTTATGGTTAGGGAAGGTATGGAGTGGACAGTCTCATGGTCACAAACACAAAAATATTAGGTCACATTTGAAGCACATAGGCCTCTAAATCTAGTTCTTGCTGGGAGTAGCATCAAAGCCCACATTAACTCTTTATATCATGTACTCTTGATTCTGGACTACTACACAGCTCTCAGATAGAACAGATGCTATAATAGCCAGAGAATAAAGTGTTGCCTTACACCACTATGCACAAGGTTGGGGAAGAGGTAGTAAGGAGTTTCTTATGTACCTGTGTAACATTTCCAGATACCCTACCAAGAAGTAAGAGATGTGGTATCTGCTAAGCACTAGTTTTATTTGCATACATTCGGTACTGGATTTCATTCTAAGACCCAATTTAAGGCCTTCTCTCTTTGTAAGTATTTCACTTTCCATTTTCCCAACATGGTGTTTGGAATTTTCATGCCTTATTCATCCTTCCCATACAGTCTCAATTTGTCTGAGATGTAATTTGCCTTCTAGGTCCATGTAATCCTAATTCTTTTCTTAGCCATGTTGTCAGTCATCAGACTCTCCCAGGCACCATCTAGTAGAATGAGACTTGTTTTTGTCACCATTCCTAACAATTATTTTTAGCATTACTCTTTGTTTAATTCTGATTATAATTTTAATACCTTCTTAATTGCATGTCTACTCTGTAATCTCTGTTTCAGCTTTTCTAAGACAAATTGTAAGTATTCACATTAATAAAGTATAATAATTATAACACTAATAAATTATAGACTTGTCAGATACTATAATATAATGTTTTCAGCAATTACACATTAACAGAAAATTAGAGATATAAACATTTGGGTCCTCTATAGAATGATCGAGAAGAGTCTCTTCAAGTGCAAAACTAGTAGATAAGATTAAAATTATGCTCAGATACTGAGTACCACATATCTGATAGCTGAGACAGAATGTTTGGAATGTGAATTATTTGAAAAGTTGTGGTGTTGTGATCATACAAATTTTCCAGATCATTCAAATATTTAATTATTCAATTATTATCTTTCAAACTGAAGCTCCAATGAAAATGTTACAGCCAGATCATTTCTATAGATTAAGACTACATACAAGGAAGACTGGTCAATATCATATACAGGACCTCAGCAGAATATGGTATAACTAGTTATTCTTGTGACCACATTACTCATAACTTTCTTAAGTTATGTTTCTTGGCAATATTCCTTTCTGCTCTATGTGTTTTTCCTGAATATCGCTGGGAATTTGCTCCTATCCAAGGCTTCTTTAGGTTTGTTTCTTGTGGTGATATCTTGCTTGTACAAATAAAGTCTGTCTGAAGGTCAGAGAATGGAGCTTGCCACTAGGTAAACATAGAGGTCTGAGCTGGGCAACGGTGGCACACACCATTAATCCCAGCACCCGGGAGACAGAGGCAGGTGGATCTATGAGAGTTTAAGACCAGCCTGGTCTACAAGAGCTAGTTTCAGGACAGCCTCCAAAACCACAGAGAAACCCTGTCTTGAAGAAAAGACAAAAAAAAAAAAAAAAAAAAACCAAAACAAAATAACATAGAGGTCTGGAGATCTGTACAGACAGACAGGAAGTAAGATGGCTAGAATTAGAAAGAGGAAGTGAGATGGCTCAGCAGAGAAGGAATATAAATGGCTAGCTCAGCCAATAGAGCATGGAACTCTTAATCTCAAGGCCTTGGGTTCTGGGCACCAAAATGTAAATGGAGTTCTTAATTAGTCTAAATAATAAAAACCCAGAGTCAAATATAGAGGAAAATGCTGAGTGATCAGTAAGAAGGAGCAACCCACAACCACACTTTACCTCCTTAGTTTCTCAGCAAACAAGAGCACGAGTTCTTGTTTCTGCCCACTTATATCCTGTCTCCTCCAATCCATCTCACATCCCGTTTCTGCCCAGCCATCTCATTTCCTGTTTGTCTGAACAGACTTCCAGACTTGTTGCTAATGGCAAGCTCCATTTCCTGACCTTTAGACAGGCTTTATTTGTATAAGCAAGATTATCACCACATTTTTTTAGCCCACTGATGGTGGCTGAAATTGCACATCCTTATAATCAAATCTCTTTTTAGGATAGTAAATTTCATAAAATGTTCCTAGTCTTTAAATAAGCCATGGCCTGTACTTTTGATCCTCCAAGTATTTTTTCTAACATATTTTCATGTAGTATTTTTCTATTGAATGTATAAAATTGTTATCCCTATATTTGTGACAACTTGCTAGTAGATTCCAAAGTCATTCAATGGAGGCAAAGGGAAGGAAAGTGATTTCCTCATGTTGTGAAGTGTGATAAAAGAAAGCAAGAAAAGAAAGGATGCAGATGATAGAATCCCTTTGTCTGCTGCAAGGTACCAAATACCTTTTATATGTCTGCATCTCCAGCTTTGATTATGCCTAGTCATCCAACCAGTTTTCCTAGAGCCCCTTTTACATCTTTGTTTCTAAGGCTATAAATGATTGGGTTCAACATGGAAGTCATAACTGAATAGAACACGGAAATAACCTTATCCTTTTCACTCATTGTCTTGGAGTTGGGTCTCATGTAGGCAAATATTCCAGAGCCATAATAGAGGATCACAACAGTGAGGTGGGAACCACAGGTAGAAAAGACTTTGAGCCTTCCCTCTCCAGACTGCATCCGGATCACAGTGGAGATGATGTTCCAGTATGAAACAAGGATGAGTGAGACAGGAACTAATAGGATAATAACTCCTACTAAAAACAGAGCCATTTCAGCATTGTAAGTGTCAGCTGAAGCCAGCTTTAGAAGGGCAGGTGGCTCACAGAAGTAGTGATTAATTACATTCTGTCCCTGATACGGGATGCGCAGTGTAAATGCACTGTCCACCGAACATGCAAATGCCCCACTTATCCAGGAAACTACAGCTAACTGGACACAGACCCTCTGAGTCATGATGGTGGAATAGTGCAGAGGCTTGCAGACAGCTACATACCGGTCATAGGACATCACTGCCAGCAGAGCACACTCTGTACATCCTGCTAGGAGAAAGACCACTATCTGTATTGAACATCCAATAAAGGAAATCGTTTTCATTTTTGAAAGGAAGTGGACCAACATCTGGGGTACGATGCTGGTAGAGAAGCAGAGGTCAGCAAAGGATAAGTTTTGGAGGAAAAAGTACATGGGAGTATGAAGTCGAGAGTCAATTTGGATAAGGATTATGATCAGCAGGTTTCCAAATACAGAAAGGAGGTAGATGATCAGGAAAATACAGAATAATAAGATTTGGATTTTAGGATTTTCTGAGAGTCCGAGAAGAATAAATTCAGCTACATAAGTTTGGTTTCCTCCTCCCATTGACATTTACTCCTGTTTACCTGTCATCAGAAGGAAAAACTGTATTTTCAGTCCTTTATAAGGAAGTATATGGTTAGCAAGTGCACCCTCTTGATTCTTGACTTCCATCTGTTTCCCACCAGGTCCAAATGCACACTTGTGTATCCAGTAAAGCCTATTTTTTTTTGTTCGTTTTATTCTTTTGAAAAACGAAGTTACTGCTTAACTGAGGCTGGTCATGAACTTAATATTCTCTTGCTTTGGCCTCCTAAGTGCTATAATGGCAGGTGTTCTTCACTACATCTGTTTTGAGAATAGACTTTTTAAAACACATTTTTTCCATGATTATTGTACTTGATCATGAACATCATGTGCTGAATGGTTTGTGTGTGTGTGTGTGTGTGTGTGTGTGTGTGTGTGTGTCTAGTGCTAATATCTAATTAAGTATGGGTGAGCAAATTACCACGTAGCTATAGTAAGAAAAGTACCTTTGCTCCAGTTCATTTTACAAATTACACTTTCAACTTCAAAATTATCTTTTGTTCAGTTCTACTTACCTGTATTAACTGTCTGAAAATATAGAAATTTTTTCATCAGTAAAAGAAGTATTTTTGGCTTTTACATTTCAAAACACCTTGCAGCTCATCAAAAAATATGTGTCAGTAAGATGTTTCTTACAACAGAAAGAAATAATTTTTTGAGGCCTAAACATAGAAACTGTACATATTACTTATTACTTTTCATAAATAGGTACTTGAAAGTATAAAACAACTACTGAAATGTGATTTGAGGTAAAGGAAGAAAAAAATTTATGTCCATGCACTGTGTAACCCTGGTCTGTAGACAATGCTTTATGTGAAAAAGAGGAAAAACAATGTTTTCTGTGAAAAAGAGGAAAAACAACATGAAAAATATTTTAAAATGCAGTCTACATGAAACCTGTATAATGAGGCTTCAGTATCCTTAACCTAAATGTGAGTGAACAAAGCTAGGAGCGAGCAGGGAACTTGATCCTCCGAATAGGATCTCATAGCATCATGATAGCAAATCTCAGATACCCTCTGGTGGTAACCAGTTGTTAGAATCTTGATTTTCCTATCAGACTGGGGTTCAGTAAAGAGTTCTGGGCTAGCCTTGACTACTACATCATGAGACTTTGTCCAGAGAAAGGCACAATTGAAATAGAGAATTATCTCCTAAAAGGTATAGTGATATGGAAAAGATGAGAGAGAGATTTCTGGAACGATAATTTTCTATTTCTTAAATAGCACATGACTATGGTTAAATTAAAATTGTATTCATAATTTAAAGTTTCATTCCAGTTTGTACCTAAAACTTTTGTACTTTTCTGAAATTATGTTATGCTTTAATAAAAAAAGTTTATCTTATAAATGTTTATCTAATCTTGTGTGTGTGTGTGTGTGTATGTATGTTCGCAGCAAGTACTATTCACCACTACAACATCTCTCCAGCCCTGAGAAGTATATTTAAGAAAAATAAAAACATGCCATTTGGCATCTAAAATTATATTGTTCCAAAATAGAGTACTTTTTAAACAACCATAATAGATGGTTGTCTAAATAAGCTAACTGGTTTATTTGACATGTTATGTTATTTCCAAACTTTCTGTATTGAAAAGCATATTTTTTAAAGATGAAACAGAGAAGCTAGCATTGAGAATAGCATAGGAAAACACCTAGGAGAGTGGAGTAAATAAGATGGTGATGTAACACATATGACGTGAAAGCATAAAGGACATATTTGGGAGAGAGAAAGAAGACCAGTAAGAGGGGATCCAGGAGGATAAGAGAAGACAGAGAGGAGGGGATGAGTAAAAAACAAAATATAATCACATACATACAAAATAATGATGCTTATTGTGTTACATGTTCACTTACAAAATTAGTAGTAAAATATAAACTAAATGGGAATTTAGAGGTGTACATTACCTAAGGACCACAGTAGCAATAACTTCAACAACTTTCTATCCAAGCATTCAGCATGCTTCTGTATATCCTGCCACATTGTCTTCAATTGCCAGCTTCATTCTTGGAACCAATAGCTACATGCTTCTTTCCTTATGTCAAACAATAAGAATAAAGTGTCTTTGCAATAACATTTAATGGCACAAAGATAAAGTCTAAAGTAGGGTCAGTCTCTGAGGAGCATACATGTATTCACAAATGAAATAAAAAACTGTTCAACAAAGGAAAGTGGTTATTATAATGGTAATTGAAAAAACTTATTTTGAATTTTAATTTTTATTATTTTGTATGTGTTTATTTATTTATTTATTTATTTATTTTTGTTTTCAATTTGGTTTATAATATATGGCACATTTAAATACTAAACACACACTGTGACAAGCTTTCACTTTTGACTGAAGATACAAATACTGTAGACAATATAACAGCATGTCATACATAGACACACTTTAAATGAATTTACAATCACTAAGTAAGATTTTATTAAATAACATATCTATGATTACACATTAAAGCCATGTGGTGATACTGACACAAAAATACAAGCACACAGTACACAATCCAGTTCTAACAATTATGCAGTGAACTGTGGCCAACCCACCTCTACAGTGAAGGCAATTCTGAGACCAGAAAGGCCTTAGAGACAAGATTTTGGAAGGAGAAGCTTTGCAGTGTGGCAAGCCCAGTGGTACTATTTCTTTTTTTTTTTTTTTTCCCTATAATGAATTTGTGGATTGTCAGAGAGAAGGAGAGAGCCAGGCAGACTTACCTCCTTAGTGTCTCAGCAGACATGAAAGAAGGTTCCCGTTTCTCCCTTTTTATATCCTGTTATCTCACTGCCCAGTTATCTCACTTCCTGTCTCTTTGTACAGACCTCCAGACTTCTATGGTTAGCTAACAGCAAGCTCCATTCTGGAACCTTCAGACAGGCTTTATTTGTACAAAAAAAAGATATCACCACATATTTCCCTTTATGCCTAAAATTTTTTTGAAAAGTTATAACAAATATAAGAAAAACTATAAGCGCTAAGTATAAAAATTATATACAGAGAGCCCTATGAATTCTGCAGGAAGTGGGCATCCAGGAAGTGAAAAGGTAAGGAAACCTTCAGTAGCCTTATAACAATAGGAAGCAAACGACAAAAACTGGCCAATAAGCTTTGCTAAATTTGAGTGACATTAATCTAATGCTTAAGTTCTTACTTGCGATCTCTGATGACCTTGGAGTGAGGAATGAGTTGGAATATTTAAACTGTACAGGATAAAATCTGTTTTACAGAAGACAATCCACTTTGACCTCCCTGATAGAAAAAAAAAATCTTTTCTCAGGAGAGTAACATTGGGAACTTTAAACTAGCTTTAAAATATCTCACATGCAATGCCTTGTGTCCAAGAGTCCAACAAAATATAATTACAAAGCATAATATAAAATATGAACAACAACTAAGAAACATAATAAAAACTAACAAGAAATACTACAGGAAACATTATATTGCAGTTATTAGACATCATGTTTAAATATGGACAATATACATTACTAAAATTACAAAATTACTGAAAATAAGAAACTGATTTTATTTCAGATCTTAAAAAATGAATTTAAAATCTTAAAAAAAGATTTTAGCTACATTAGACATAAGAAAGAGAAAATTAGTTAACAAGGAGTTAAGAGGACATTATGATAAACAATGATTAGAAAGACAAAAAATAGGAAATGAGAAATATAAAGATGTCAGAACTATACCTCAATTCCCATAGGGAGAGAAAAGAGTAGACACAGTAAAAAGGGACATTTAAATAGATAATAGTTACAAATTTACAAATTTGATGAAAATATTCACATATGCAAGTGTATTTAAACGCAAAGATGACTATGTAAATCAGAATCTCACCAAACTTCTAACTCGAAGGAAAACAATGGAAACTCTAAGCACATTATAATTAAAATACAGAACATGCCAAATATTGTTACCTGAATGAAATAAAGAAAACATTCCTAGAAACTGTCCCTTATGTATATGATATGAATTTTCTCCATCTTACAAAACATTGAAGAAAAAAAAAGGAAGAAGCTTGGGTAATGCTTCTGATCACCAGGAACAGAGCCCCTCCATGTGCATGAAATCACTAACAGGGACCTGTGGGATCAGGGATGTCTGGGCAGTGAAGGAATTACATGTATTATTCAATTCACAGTAACAGTTTTGGCAGAACTTAACTTCTTACACATAGGATGTTTAAAAAGGCAATAGAATAATAAGAAGGGTGGGTAAAGTTAGGGTCCCTGGAAGACAAAAAGGAGCCAAAGCTCAGACTCAAAAGTGTACACAAGGCTACATAACCACTCCTCCTTAAGAAACAAATCGGCCTTGTCATTGCTTCTAATAAAGAAATACCAGAAAAGAGGGAAAAGCAAAAGAGTATTTAGCTTACCCTTCACACTAAGCTTTCTAAGAATTATGTTGGTCTATGTCTCCAACAAGCTCCAAGTTATATTTAAGTGGCGGAATATACTGCCTTCTGCATTTGTTCTCTTTGATTTATCTTAGTCACATTTAAAGCTGTGGCACTGTATTCGCTGCACTTGGACATGTTTTTCTCCTGACGATATCCCTTTTCTTTGTCTACCTTTTCCTTCTGTTCATTTTCCTCCTTTTGTCACTTTCTTAGACTACACATTACTATGTATAACCTCTTCTTCCCCTTCAAATTCAATTGTCATTTAATAATTAGAGGTTCTTACATCTCTAAAAGCAACTGGGACATGTTTTGCCATCAGAATTGTGGTTCACAAATGAAACTTTGTATTGAGCTTCCTTGAAAAGTCTCTAATACTAGCCTAAAGAAACTTTTAGATTTTTTTTCTTGTGATTTTTGTCATTAACATAATGTCTACAGCTTTTATTATGACTTTAATAATACATTACATATTAAACAGTCTTTTCATAATTTAAAAAAGAAAATTAGTTTAAATACAATTGAGAATTCTTTATATGTGATAGAAAAAATACATTTAGATTTCATAGGAAAAGAAGATTATAACAATACTGATCTAAGTCTTGGAGAGATATAACTTGGTTTGGATCTGAGCTCT